AAAATGCAAAAGTTAGACCAAACAACTGAAAAGAAACAGGTTTGCTAACACCCATGTTTATCATTCAGAATCCAGAATTAGTGCGGAAGCCTTCAAAAAAACAAGTGTCAATTTAAGTTATTAAAATCTACCCAATTCCCTTGGTAAGACCCATCAACTTTCTATAACAGTGTTTGTTGAAATGAGGAAGACAACATATGGGAAGAGATTACCATAAAAAAGTGATAATCAATGGTTAATGGATTATTGTAAACTGTTTTTTTCAGGAAGCTAAACGTCATGCCTTATAACATTACATAACCTTGAAAAATACAAAGAAAAATTCCATGCTTTTTAGGTTAATTTGATATAATTTCCAAGATATAAACTTTAAAATCTGATGCTAGATTGTTCACATACTACTCCCACCCCATCCCCAACTCAGCAAGAAGTCACATCAAAAAGGAAGTATTGCCTGGATTTAAAATCCTCCATAAGAATAGCCCTAATGTTGGAAGTTTCTGAACTGCATGCTCTTCAAAACTGAATCAATGTCAGTCAACATTCCCATTGCCTCCCTGCTCTTGCAAGGCAATCTTCAGAAATGGCAAGGACCACCGGGGGTGGGGGGTGTTAGGGTTCACTCATTCCAAAGCCAACCCTTGAACTCATGCTAAAGGAGACACAACAGAGGGGTGAAGAAGGGCTCCACTGCCCCATCCTGAGCTTGGCTGCTGTCCCTTTTCAGGCTGCCATTGAATGATAATGAATTGGCTAATTACTAATAACTTCAAGGGCTTAAAAAAGGCTGGGCAGGTATTCTAAGCACCATCTTTTAGAGAAGGTATACTGATACTCTTTCAAGCCGCTCTACTTCTAGAATGTTCCACAAAGCCAAGGTCAATTCAGTGGCAACCTTTCCAAGAGGCATGGCCATATACACAAACCTGTTTCTCAGTACTTCTCAAAGCAATACTTCTTTCAGGGGAAAAACTGGCAATAGATATAAAAACTAAAACATGGACTCCTCGAAGAGTCGATGTGTATGTACAGTTGTCCTATGTAATTACACTTTAATCAATTCAGCTTCTTTCAAAAGTACTGAGAAGGCCTTGCAAATCATCTGTGCTGCTTAATGCCATCTCCAAACGGGAGGCTAGAAAATGTAGCCAACTTGCCCGTTCTTTTAGGCCCAAAGATTTTACCAAATGCAGGCAGACGAGATATGTTTGAGACAGTACATGTGAATTATAAAACAAGTATTACATAAGTTGTTTAATGAAAGTTTAAAATATGGGTTGGATGCTTTAAAGTCTCAAACAAGCAGGGACTCCTTTCTAAGGAACAAAGAGAAGTTTGAAGTTGATTCCTCTTTAAGCTACTCTGAAAGGCGTGCCAAGGGTTCCATTTCAACACAGTGCTCTAAAAAGATCCAGTTGTGTTTTTTCACATTTACTAGAAGCTTCTCTTAATGAAACTATGGTTCGCTTTGACAGTATTTGCCAAAACATTAGAAAGAACTGCATAGATAAGAATATAGAAATAACTGTAAACATCTGTTTAAGAATCAGAAGAATTCCTCCTTTCTGCTGCATAAATTCTATGCTTTCGGACACACAGATCTTCATTCCCGACCCTCTGGACCGAGCAGCCATTAAGACTAAAATCTGAGGCCTAACGTCAGCTTTGCCACTATCAATATTTGCAGATATTTTCAAAAAACATGGTGGGCAGCCATGCATTTGAAAGGCAAGATGTTGTATCGTTTGTAAACAAAACTGGTCTTCGATCTTTAATTGTAGTCAAACTGAATGCTGACATTGGTAAGATCAAGCAATCTGAAGGCCAACTCTAGAAATGCAGGCAAAAAGAGTTCTCCCCTTTGGGTAATAAAGGAAGCAAGGTAAAGAGGGGAGAGGAATCAGGGAGGAGAGAAACACGTATCTCATTTATCCCGACAGAGGAATACTTATTCCCTAAAACATTCTTACATGAGAACCGCAAAGGAATGTGTAGGAGAAGTCCACAGAGGCTGCTAGTAACAGAGGCCTGTATACGGACTGGAGTAGCACCAATAAGTTGTCCTTTAACCATCTACAGTAACTAAGCCCCCAACCGCTTCCCACAAATCAGCACAACTTCCTCTGGCCGGCCCTGGAGAAAGTGCTGTAGCTCTACAGGGCGGAAGCGGAGAGGAGAGCCGAGTCCTTCCGTGGAATCACCATCCGCACAACCAGGGGTCAGAACGATGCAGGAAACGCAGGCCTGCTCCGGGCACAACATTTTCAAAGGTTACAAATCCATCTTGTCTGCACAAGAGACTTCCACTTGGCGCCAAGCCTCTTCATATGGTGATGCAAATAAAACAATCTTCTGCATTCAATACTGTGATACAATTACATTCTCGAACCTCGTTCCTGCAAAATCTGGGGGGGGGGGGGGGGGGGGCAGGGGGGCAGGATTACAGTGAGAAATTAGATTTGACAAAATCTTCCAAGTGGATTTGTATACTAAACATTGTTTACTTTATTCTAAGAAAACCCATGCCTCTGACCAGTACGAAGTCAGCAAACCATCGTTTAGCCACCGAGCATAAATATCTCAGCCATGAACAGTTTGTGCAGCTCCTATCACCAAGACACAGGAACACCACCTTCTGCAAGGAAAGATGTAGCTTACTAGAATGACTGGAGGCGCTTTGTGACACAAAGCTTATTTTAATAATCTGTGGGCCCATTATCCCAAAGCAGTCTGGCCACTGGAGGTGGTCTGAGAAACCCTGCACTGAAAAGGTTTGTCCCCGTCCGTCAGGGAGCCGAGTCCCTGGCCCTTGTGCTATTCCAAAATTGGAATAATGATACTTCAATCCACTTTTACCCAGTATTAGGAGTTAAGGGATGTAGAAATACAAAAACAAGAGGCAACATTGTGAGGGGGGGTGGGGGGAAGCAACAGGTGGCACTTAATCTAACATAGGAGGAGCATCTTTGTAGGCTAACAGTTTTATTAAAAGCTGCTGTTCAAAAGAAACGCAGGTGCCGTTAAGCTGCTGCTTAGCTCCTCAAAGATGGCAGAACATGGACAACAATGGCAAATAATGCAACATGTCCTTGAATGACCTCAATTGAATATGGAGACACCTTTGCTGGCTTTTTGCTTAGCAAGTATCACAATCTGAGAAATCAAGTAGCCAAACTAGTTCTTTTTGCAATAACTCTTGACACATTCTTAGAAAAACCAGCAGTCAAGTGATGCCTTAGGACCGACATGTCTGAGGTGTTGTAAAACCCTAGACTTTCCAATCACATATTTTAAGGACCAGGACTGTGTGACCTCCTGTTTCAATGATAACTTTTTATTTTTCACTGGAGTGTTTTTTATAGTTTGTGTCTAAAATGCTCATATAAACTCATTTTTCTCTCTTCTCCAGTTCTCACCAAAGTTTATTCCGGAAGAATTAGAAGATGGCTTAGTCATTTCATGTGAATGCACAAAGTAAAACTATGGCTGTCATAGTAATAAAAAGCAAGTAAAAATACCCTTAAAATCTACTCTGCAATCTTAAAATAGCTTGAATTCTTAGCCCCCATAATCAATACCTTTGCCCAGTTCTGCCTTGCCTGAGGATGGAGAGCCACCTGCACCCCTCTGGTCCTCTTAACTAGAGTGGCTGGCATTCCTGATGGCAGCCCTCCTGTGGGTCCCCTTTGGCAGAGGAGAAGGCCAGATCTATGTGTCATGGGCAGATGCCCATTCATCTTCTGAAGATTCTTCCATTCTCCTTCAGGCCAGTTTGGGCTTAAATGCAAATGGCATTGTCCAGACATTGAAACTTTGCTAATTAAACCAACATTTACTCCCACTGCTCCACCCAGCACTCAACTACCCCCCCCCCCCCGCGGACGAAGCCATGGGATGCAAACAGAATTCTTCTGTAGTGGGATGGGGGGCGGGGGGGAGTGTTACTTCAGCTTTCATTTCCAAAACATAATCTACTTAGCCTGAAGGCCCCCAACTCAGGTCAGAATCTCAAACTGCAATGGGGACAAGGGGGACAACCTGTGGGCAGAGGCAAGGCTGCTTTCTTAAAAGGAATCCCATTGGGATTGAAGTGTAGTAATACAGTGGAATACCATTGTATTTCGAGTTGACTGGCACATTTTGATTTCTCCTTCATATTAAGAAAAAGTTTAAAGCTCATTCTGAGCTAACATGATTGTTTTTCATTCTTGTCTGCTGAAAAAAGGAGGTGGGGGGAAGGAAACTGTCATATAGCTGCAAAGTTTTCCTCATCTGTGAAAGGCTCAGATTTTTGATTCCGACCAGGTGCCTCCTGGTCAAGGTCAGGTCCTGCTGTCTCAGGACTACAGAGGCAGGGCCGGGAAGGGATGGTGCTAGGCTTTCATAGAAACCTCTGCCCGGCCTTTAAACTGGGAGCTTCCACCCAGAATCCTGCACAAGGGGAGGTGCAAATTGGCCAACCTGGGGAAGGGGTATCTCTGCAGCTGTTATTAAGGAGCTCCTTATCGGAGATTTGGGTGTCATCTTGCCTGGCGTATATGCTTTTTATGTTAGGCTTTTAAAACTGTTTGCTTGGCGTAATAATAAAGCTTAACAATTCTTATTCGCTGGTCTGTTTGTTGTCTGAAAAGACCAACTGTCTGGGCACCTGACCCTTGCCCTGACCTCTGGCAAGCACAAAGCCCTGCGCCGAGCTTTTATGCGCTCCTCAAGACGACTCACCTTTGCTTTCTCGCTGGGCTCGCTGGCTGTGCCGTAGGGCATGTTGTGCAGCTCCTTGGAGACAACGCAGAGGAATTCTGCCTGGTCCTCATTCCCATAATTATAGGATGATCCGATGCTCACTAGCTGGAACAGGAAAGAGAGGCTTAGTTGCGGCTCTTGCTTGCAAAGAGCCCGAGGCCTCATATCGCACGACAACAGTGCCCAAAGACACCACTAGCCGGAGGGGAGTTTTCTCTTTTTATTCCTAACCCTAGCAGAGAGGAAGGGCAGGGCCATCATTTGGGGCCTTATTTTATTCAAGCTCAGGTAAAGAGCAATTGAGTTTCTCCTTGGATCCTCAAGTACCATTTTTATTAAACTGACTTTTTCAGGCAGTGGTGAAATCTCTAGAACTCTGAAGGACAGGAAGACCCACAGCGTGTGGAAGCTCTGACAACCAAGCCCAGAGGAAGAGGACTTAGGCAGGCTTGAGACTGAAGCATCCGGTCTCAAGGTAGAAGTAAACAGCATTCGTTTATTTAACAAATAAAACTAAATCTCAAGAAGATAATTTCTTTCATTTTTATTTCATTCTGGGGTTTAGTCTTCTAGGAAGGAATTCCGCGGAAACCGACTGCTAGCTTGCTCCAGCTGGAGCAGAAGCCATAAAACAGAATTCACTTCAACTTGGGAGAGTAGAGGAAAAAACAGAGACATTTTCAATGAAAGACGCAGAACTGACAGTGATTAAGCTTGTTCATAAAACAAACTTTGCAGGGTTTGACTTTCAGATTCATTTAGTATTCAAAGTACAGCCTCCAGTTACTCTCCCAACTAATTCCAAAAATCCATCTTCTCATTAGGCTTGCAGTTAATATAGTGTTAATTTTGTTATATTAAACCTGGTCACAGTCCAGGAGGAAAAAACAAACCTTCATCTGACCACAATTAACACAGCTCCATTGATCAAATTTATACAGCCTACCATTTCACAAATGTGACTCTGGGCATCATACAGTAAAACAGTAATTAATTAACAATAAAATAATTAAAACATTCTTAAAAAAACATTGAAACAATCTGGGAATCCCTAGGTTTGTTTTTTTAAACCCACATGGCCTGGATTCTGCAGTGTAGCGTTTTAGGTCAGAGGTCAGCAACCTTCTTCCACCCCAGGGCCAGAGACCATCCATTAGCTCCACTGGGTAGACCAGACTAGAAAATCAGCTCCTTTGATTGAGATTGGCTCTAAAGCCAGAGCCTTCCAAGTCTGATCGTGGCTTAGCTCCTGCTTTTCCTTCTTACCCCTTCAGTGAATTAGGGAATGGTCTCCCCAAGAGCACAGGTACACCATTTTTTTCTGTTTTGGGGCATTTATGAGACAGTCACAAGGTAGTTATTGCCCTCCCTCTAAAAGCTGGCGCAATCAGTCTCTTCGGTGTTTACAAAATGATTGATCCCAATTTAAAAGCAGTAGCAATTGTTTTGAATTTTGATCCCTAAACTTAACATCCATGTTTCAAAACTCAACAGTATTACTTGCTGGTGTTTGTAATGCTAGAATGACAAGATTCTTTTTCAGTATTATAATAACCCATGTTTCTCACTAATCAGTTTGTCTTCATGAAAATCTATAGATGCTAAATTTAAAATCGGGGGTTATGGGTGGAGGATGTGGCAATTTGACATTTTAATGTCTTTTAAAATTTGCCTTAAAAATCCTTAATGGATGGGTGTCCAGTGACCCAGAGGGTGAACTAATCTTGAGGCCATAAGCTTTACATTGTATATTAATATACAATTATTTTATTCTTCATTTCCATTAGCAAGGGACTACTTACTCCTGGCAAGATCTGCCAGTATAATATTGGTACAACAGACCCAAGCTTAACATCCCCATGACTCTCTTGCTATTTGCAATTATTTGCAACTAATCTAGTCTAGTAAGATGCAAATGATCAATCACTTGAAAGTCTTAAGTGTGGCTATTAAGGCTTCTGTCCTATGCCTGATTTTGTAATAGATGCTAACCAACCACAGGTTAGCTCAATTCTCCAATCTTAGTTAATTCTCCTCTGGTTTGCGCTGCTATCTAACACTGGCATGACCTAATCAGTTTGACCCTAAGGGTTTCCACCCCCTCTCTTCTAAGAAGCCGGAGCAGTCTATGCTAAGGCTCAGTGGCTAAGGTGACTCAGTGGCTAAGACGCTGAGCTTGTCAATCAGAAAGGTCAGCAGTTCAGCTGTTCAAATCCCTAGTTATAGGTCTCCTGTGTGAGCAGGGGGTTGGACTAGATGACCTTCAAGGTCCCTTCCAACTCTGTTAACTGTTACTAAGGCTGTATTCTCCTTTATGTGCCCGTTTACTCTCCTGTAATCTCTTCCTCTCCAATAACTGAAATGCAAGCTTTCATTTCCTCATGCTCATCATCCCCAAATGGGAAGATCCTCAAGGCGGAGGAGGTGGGCAAAATAAATCCCCACTTCCTGGTGGGCTGAGTTCCGGAACATGAACTTTGCCCACGATTAGGGCTCACCCTGCTCTTTGGGGTCATATCCCCCTGACTCTAAATATTTAGGGGCACTTACTTAATAAACCTTTCTAAATATTTATTACAATTTTCCCATCTCTACTGGTGTTCTTTTTTTTAGTATCCGTCCTGTAAATTCTAAATTAAATACCAACATGCAGATTAATGGCAACAGCTGGTAAAATAATTGCCATGTTCCATCAAATTATCCCTTTTGCTCAGAAACATCAAAAACCTGAGCAAACCCATTTTCCCCATCTTTCAACCCAAAGTGAGGCCAGGAGCCACGGGCAGCTTGGCAAGCAGCCTCACGCAGCCAGTAGCGCTTCTGGGAAAGTAATAATCTTGAAAAGTATCCAGAAGCAGCTCGTACTAAATGCAGCCCCACGAGCAATATTGGGCACCCACAGAACAGAGTACGTAACAAGGTTGCTGCACCGGCTCCACTGGATGCCAGTTTGCTCTGGATCCAATGCCAGGTTTTGGCTACGACCTTAAAGAGCCAGATGGCAGGGGGCCAGGCTACTGTATCTCTGGAACCATCTTCAGCCCAATTCACTGGCCCATCCCACCCAGAGCGGGAGGACATGCTGTGGACCGGTCAGTTAAAGAATTCTGACTGGTGAGGTCCAGGAAGAGAGCCTCCTCTGCTGATGCCCCACCCTGTGGAACACTCTCCCCCCAGAGATGAGGCGGGACCCCCTCTCCTTTTGGAAAGACTTGGAAACATGGCTCTGCTCTCTTGCTTAGGGAGCACACAGCAGCAGACGGAGGTGGAGCTGATTAGCACCCTGAAAGCCTTCCCCCCACCCTTTCCAATTAACTGAATTATAATCAACCTTGGCTCTTTTTAAATTTTGCATACTGGTTTTTAATGTTTTAGTATTTTATTTGTACACTATCCAGAGTCCCTCTGTGAGGGAGATCAGCTGTTTCAAAGTTTGATAACTAAGTAAAATAAATGTAAGAAGATAAATTCATCCCCACTGAAAGCAGGCTGCCAAGTGTCTCCAATCGCTCCCATCTCTCTCTCTCTCTCTCTCACACACACACACACACACACCAGCTCCAGCTGCTCCACTAACCACCAAACAGCTGATCTACCCGGCAGGAATTCCTCTGGGACCCCATGCTTTTCAACGTGGCCTTTCTCCTCTACAGGTTGTATCAGTCTGACTGAAACCCTGGTTTGCCAGGGAAGGCCCTGGGAATTATTGTGGATAGATATGCTCATATATATCACAATCCTGAAAAAAATCTATGCTAAAAAAAAAGAGTTTCAAGAAGTTTATAAAGGAGAAGAAACAAAATTATGCAATAAAGACCTTGGGCTAAACAAAGAAAAATTACTGTCTATTCTAGCACCTCATTTCCCGATCTTCAGCTAGCTATAACTCACCTGACAACGATAATTTAATCTCTGCTGATTTTTGGGATGGACATTTCAGCCATTTATTCAAGAGTCTGTAGTACAGTGGACTGAAGCACTTTTATTAACATCTGCTGCTTGCAATTACTGCAAGTTCAAATCTCACCAGGCTCAAGGTTGACTCAGCCTTCCATCCTTTCAAAGGTAGATGAAATGAGGACCCAGATTGTGGGGGCAATAAGCTGACTTTGTATAAATATACAAAAGTATGAAGGCTATTGCTTAACGCATTGTAAGCCGCCCTGAGTCTCCGGAGAAGGGTGGCATATAAATTAAAGCCAAAAAAAAAAAAAAAACATCTCTGGGTGGGGATCCTTCAGTTTTGCTACCCTTCCTCAATGGACCCATCTCACATATAAAACATCAAAAATAAAGTTTTCAATTGGGAAAAAAGATAAATCTCTCAGCAAAAACAATTATACCAAAATTTCCAAAATCCAACCCCACCTCTGATAGCTCCTCTCTTCATCTCTACAAATAACTCTTTCCAGATTCCAAAATTGGGCTTAATTCCATCTTTCTTCCCATGGACAAAACAGGAGACTAGTCTTATCCTATAAACTATCATCCTACCAGCCTCTCATCTCCAATCAATAGCTTGAACATCAGTTTTTCATATTATAAACTTTCTGACTCAAAGCTTTCCAAAAACATCCTGGCCTCAAAGCAGGCAAGGTTCAGGCCAGGTCATTCAATAATGGACCATAGCATCATATTATATCCTCCCAGCCAAGAAATCTTCTCAAAGGTTCCCAAAGATTTCTTCACACAGGTGCCCTTCATGGGGGCTAAAGGCAGTCTTAGACCATGTGAAAGATTTTGGAAGAAATTAGCCACATTGATTGCTCACTGCTTTCTTAAATTGATAATATCACTGCATTAAAATACCCAGTTAAGGTGAGTTAAGGTAAATTATAAAGGATATCCAACTAAACCTATTCCTATCCAAAAAGGGGGTGAAACAAGATTGTCCCATTGTTGTCTAATTTGTATATTAAAGACCTTTTTATTAGAACCAAAAAAACATGTTTTGCAGTTATTAAGTGTGCATGTCAACAAGTAATAACAATGCTGGTAATAACCAGCAGCCATCCAATGACTGCTGTATGGTTCTGATCTCACTTTCTGCATTCTGCCTTTTTTTTAATCATTTTTATTTTTTTTATATGCTTGATAGAACTGTGACCTATAGTAGCAGTGCTAACCTGAATACCAGCTGCTGGGGAGGAAGAGCAGAGGGTTCTTCTTTTCCTACTTAGGCCTGGAAGTTTCCTGAATGGCAATGTGGGACCCCAAATGCAGTAAGTATTATTGAGAGAATCAACGACAACAATGATGATCGATGAAAGGCAACAATGCAAGAACAGAGGAAGTAGAATGAACTCACTTGAGAGTTCAACCCTGGTTCTTTCTCTTTAGGAAGAAAAGTTTTTTTCCCCCTTTAGCCAGATTTTTTCAGTTCAAATTAGTTAATGGTAACTTAATTAGTTTTATCAGACTTCCTTTAAAACAGTAAAAAAACCATAGAGTGTTCTCTGAGGAGAAACACTGGATATAAACTGATGAATGATGAAGGCAAGGAACACACCAATTCAATCACACTTGTTTGCAGTAACTAATCTCTAAAAATGAGGGACTATCAAAAGAAACCTGAAAGAAGCAGTCAAGGTGGTCAAATCTTCCAAATCACTGAGGGATTACTAAAAAAAGGGAAAAAACAGAAATCCAGCTAGAATCTAGTGCATGTTGCAAGTCAGGAAAGTGACCGCTGGTTTCAAGGAATCACCAGAATTATAAAGGAAACAGGATACTGTTTTAAACAAGAACACTGTTCAGAAATGAACCATAAACTCGCAGAAAAGGAAGAGGAAACAAAAAGATTACCACCCCCACCCCCAAAGGAGCAGCAATATTACGTTCAAATATGAAGTTTTCTTAAGAGGTGCCATAAATAGGAGGCTCTCAGCTATGTACAAAAACAAGGGACAGCATGTACAAAGGGGCCAGGGGTGAGGTGGGGGGGCTCCTTCCAAAAACAAACCAGAGGCAAAGGGAGTTAGAGAAGAGCCAGAGGTTGTCCCCCACTTCATGGATTGTCTTGCTGGGCCTAGTTAAGGGACTTCTACCTGTCCCCACCTCTCTCCCAAGGCAGGAATGAAAGTATTGGCCTTCCTATAAAAGAGAGACAGACGGGTGACTGAAAGAGCAGGTGTGAACTTTCCGCCACTGAAGCACACTAAAGTAACTGACACATTAATTGCAGATTATTACTTATTAATTTGGCATTACTTAATACCGTGTTTCCCCCAAAATAAGACCCTGTCTTATATTTTTTTGAACCCTGAAATAAGCGCTTTGCCTTATTGCCATGCGCTCAAAAGCCTGATTGGGCTTATGATCAGGGGATGCCTTATTTTAGGGGAAACAGGTAACACAGATATTACTGATGGGATATTGCTATTATTAATCCATATTTGCTATTGATAATAATGTAGTACAGTAATCCTCCATTTACGACCAAAATGGAGCCCAAAAATTCTGTGGCTAAGCAAAACAGTTGTTAAGTGAGTTTTGCTCCATTTTATGACATTTCCTGTCATAGTTGTTAAGGGAATCACTGCAGTTAAATTAGTAACACTGCTGTTAAGGGAATCTGGCCTCCCCATTGACTTTCTTGTCAGGTGGTCTCAAAAGGGATCACATGATCGTCATAAATATGAGTCAGTTGACAAACGCCTGAATTTTGTTCACATGATCATTGGGGATGCTGCAGCAGTCATAAGTGTGAAAAAGTCATAAATCACTTTTTTCAGTGGCGTTGTAACTTTGGTCATTAAACAGTTGTAAGTCGAGGACTACCTTACAGTGCCTTATATACCAATGCAATGAAACTTCTCCCTCCCTCTTTTTCTCAACTTTATCTGCAAAGGAAATGAAATCTGGTTACGTTACCTGTTCAAATTTCCAGCCATCAGACATGGTGGAGACCATCTGAGTCAACTCCTCTTCCTGGCACTGTAACACTCTGTAAACATGCTTGACTGGCACCTGTGGCAGAGAACAAGGCTGCTGGGACCAATGCAGGAAAAGGAGCTCTCCTGAATCCCGCCCACCACCAGGTCACAGGTACAGCTCCCCCCTTGGTTGGACTGGCCTCACAGAGTGTCAACGCGGCATCAAGAGGAGAGAAGAAATGCTGCTGGAGCTGGGGAAGGCCACCGTCCTCTTCCAGACTGGAAATCTCACATACTGAAAGGGCCCCAAACCAAACACCACTTACTCAGAAATCAAAGAGGGTCCCACCTGTGAGATTTTGCTGTCTCTTTCTCTTATTTTGTCCTTCACCAGTTTAATTAAGGATGTGATGTTGTAGAATTCAGCTTCTTCAAGCACGCCTTGAAAAGGAAACCAAGTTACAAAAGATAAAACTTAATTCTGGTGGCAATCGATCAATGTTTGTCACTGGCTACTTGGAAGACTGGCTAGCCTTGCAAAATGAGACTTGGGTCTGCTTGTATAAATATAGTTCTTCTTTATTCCTACTTTTTATTGTTTGAAAGAACTGTTATTTTACAAGAATTAAATACCAAGACCAGTTTATTTTTCAAAATTTCAAGCCCAGGAAATTCAAAAAGAGGCCACTACAAGTTGAGGTGCCAAGACTAGCAAGCCTGCAACTGCTTTCCAAATGAAGCAATTTGAAAACTAATTTTTCGAGCCAATGAATTTTAGGACAGTTTTCCTGAATTGTAAAACATACCTTCCTCTGCCAGGTCTTTATTGATAACCAGTTTCCCATGTCGGAGATAGTTCAGTACCGGTCCAAAATAGGTTGGATCTCTGTCTATTAAATAGGCACCTCTTTCATCCTAATTAAAAGAAATAAATTTTATTTATTTGGTACACATCCTAGTTTTCCAGCAATCAGTTCTGTAAGCAGCTTTTTAAGTTTTAACAATAAAACAAATAAGGTTATTTAGATCACTGTGGTCTTCGTGGGGAGGTCATGCTTATTGGTTTGACATCCTCAAGACAATGAATTAGACCTAAATTAATCAAACAGTTCCACGGCCAATACCCTGATAAACCTAAATGAGAATAAATGCTGTTTTTCTCTCCTGTTTATTATATTATGTGCTGCAGGTATAAGCCTCTTTCTTTTAAGGAGGGCAGCATGTCAGATCCCCTTCTGGGATGCTGCCATTCCGATGAAGGAAGGGGGAGGCTATCGGGGTTGCATTCTCTGTGTGCTTTCGTTTTTGCTGTAACCATGTGGGATTTAGGGAGGGGAACTATCTTGAGTACAGTCTTTTGAACCTTAAGCCTGTCTTCTAACGAGTTAGCAATTCTCCCCAACTTTGTGTTGCCAGAAAACTTGATCAGCTCTTCTTCTATCTCATCTAAATAATTCATTAGAAAGTTGAAGAGTACTGGGGACAAGACAGACCCCGAGATCCCGCACTGAATATATTCTTGATGCCAGGAACATAAACTCTAATACACATCTTTTGTTGGTGACACAAAGGTGTATAATAAGAGCTGACATTGTGAAAGCAAACAAAATTCTGTGATACATCAGTAGAAGGATCATCAGCAAGAAAAAGCAGGTCCTAATCCCGCCGTATAGAGCTTTAGCCAGACCTCTGACTAAACTGGAACACAGTGTCCAGTTCTGGAGACCTCACTTAAAAAAAGATATAAGATGAGCAAGTCCAGAGATGGGGAACAAAAATGGTGCAAACTCCAAGGGACAATCAAGAGATTGGAGGAACTGACTATGTGCAGTCTGGAGGACATGATTGAAACCTTGAAGTATATGAAAGGTGTGAACAAGGTTCTAGAAGGTTCTAGTATTTTCAACATTAAGCAAAAATCAGGAACCCAAGGGCATAATGTCAAACTGAAAGGAGGGAAGTTCAAACATAATGTTAGAAAGTATGACTTCACAAAAAAGAGTAGAGGAAGCTTGGGATCAACTTCCAACAGATGTAGCACATCAATCATCAATAACTGAGTTTAAATATGCTTGGGATAAACATATGCCCATCATATGATAAAAATTAAAAAATAAAATACAATAATAAATAAAAAATTAAAATAATAATAATAAATGATACATTAAAACAGGGGTGTCGATTGAGGGCTGCAGTCCCCGTAAAAGGAGCAACAAAGAACAGATTCAGTAGTTTCCACCTCTCCAGAATCACTGGGGCAGAGCCTTTGATATTTATATTTACCATCCAACGCTGCAGAGGGAAGAGCATGGCCCTGGGCACGAGAGAAAGCTTTCCAATGGCTGGGTAAGGTAGCCGGCAGCAGTGACCAACAGAGCAGTTATGCACTGGGGGGAGGGGGAGGAAGGCTTCCCTAGAGCTGCTTGCCTCTCTGCATCCTTTATCCTTTCACCTGATTTCATTCCACCTTAAGAGCTGAGGAAGGAGAGGAGCCCGGATTTAAAAGATTAGATTCAACACCCTTGACTGGTGGGGACTGAAAATGGCCCTGAAGGATTCGTGGGGCTAAGCTCCGAGGACCGCAGAGGAGCTTTCTTTCCCCAAAAGCGGCCCACCCTTGACTCAACTTTGCTCTGATGGATTTGGACTGAACCTCTGCAGAGGAGACACCCAACGCCCGCAGAGGAGCTGGGCCAGCGGCTCAGCCTGAAAGGGCGGCTGGAAGGTGGAAACGTTTCCTCGGACTGGGAAAGTTTAAGGAGGCCGTTGGCAGAGCTATTTTCGCAGCCGGCGTTCCCCTCTGGCTGCTCCCAGGTCCTTAAAGCTCGTCCCTTGGTTTATTTTACGGCCGGGAACGGAGCTTCGGCTCTGGGGGAGCTTGGTGTCGAGGTGAAGCTGGAGGGGAGGAAGATCCTCCGAGAAAATGGGAAGAAAACCTTCGTTCTGGCCTACAGAACACGCCGTTGAAGGGAGAGCGGAGGTTCCCTCATTAAGCGAGGCCGCTTTCTGGCACAGGCGGGGACCTCGAGGGCCTCCCGGGAAAGCACCGAGGCCGAGGCCGGCCGAGGAGGGAAGGCCGGGGCCGGGCGGGGGCCCACCTTGTCGGAGTCGAGGTCGGGGTCGGCCTGGCAGAGGCGGAAGAGGAAGCTCTTGGGGTCCCTGCAGAGCGTCTGCCGGGTGGTGAGGAAGCAGGTGCCGCCCACGTTCAGCCGGACCCACTTCCCGGGCAGCGTCGCGGGAGGCCCGCCGCTCGACGGGGCGGCGCCCCTGGAAGGGCTGCAGCGGCGGAAGGGCGCCGAGGGAGGCCGGCCCAGGCTCGGCCCGCCCGCCGGCGACGCCGGGAGCTCGCAGGGACTGCCCGTCGCCATCCTGGCCCGGCGCCGGAAGGTCCCCCCGCGAAAGGAGTCCCCGCCGAGCCAGCCGCGCCCCCGACAGCCGCGAGCGCGCCTGCGCAGGGCCCCGACGGAGGAAGGGGCGGGGCGGGCGCTCCCTCGCTTCCCGTCCCGCTGGAGAGGCGGGTCTTCCGGCCGCCGCCAGGTCCCGCCTTCTCGCCTCCCACGGCTGGAAGCGGCCTCGGGCGAAGGAGGCGGGCGGTGGGGGGGGGGTGGCCGGGCGCGGGAGCTGCTGCCGCTCGAGCAGCGGAGGGCTTGGGAATCCCCGCCCCCCGCCCCAAAATAGCCTCCTGCGGTTTGGGCAGAAGAGTTGTGACGGAGCTGACAGACCCCATCTCAGAACCACCGCACCGCGCCTTTCAAAAATCCTGGCGCACCAGGAACCCTCAGAAGATCGGGAAAGAGCTGATGTGGTTCCCATCTTCACAAAAGGGGGGGGGGAGGAGGTGTGGAACAGACCCAGGAAAGTACAGACCAATCAGCCTAACATCAATCCCCGGGAAAATATAATCAAAAAGTAGATCTGCCAACATCTGGAAACGAGTAAAGTAATAACTAGATCAGCAGGGGTTTGTTAAAAACAGATCATGCCAAACCAATCTTATTTCATTCTTCAACATAGTGACTAAATTAGTAGACCAGCGAAATACTGTGGACATAATATATTTAGACTTCCACAAGGCATTCGACATAGCAGACCATAACCTAGTTCTTGGTAAGCTAGAAAAAAGTGGGATAGATAGCATCGCCACTGGATGGATTTGTAACTGGCTGACAAACCCTTCTCAACAAGTAGTCCTTAACAGGTCTCCATCTATACTACATGGAAGGAAGGAAGGAAGCAGTGGGGTACCACAAGGTTCCATCTTAGGCTCAGAACTCTTCAATATCTTCGTAAATGACTTAGATGAGGGAATAGAAAGGGAATTTATCAGATTTGCAGGTGATGCTAAGCTGGCAGGAATACCCAACATCCTAGATGATAGACTAAAGATCCAGATGGATCTTGACAGATTTGAACAGGCCTAATGAAATTCAACAGAGAGAAAAGTAAAGTCTTACACTTAGGCAAAAAAAATCAAAAGTACACATACAGATTATGTGAAACCTGGCTTAATAGCAGTAACTGTAAGAGGGGTCTTGGAGTCTTAGTGGACAATCAATTAAATGTGAGCCAACAGTGTGCAGCAGCAGCCAAAAAGGCCAATACAATCCTAAATTGCATTAACAGGGATTGAATCAAGATCACTTGAGGTACTAGTACCTTTCTATAGAGCCATAGGCCACACCTAGAATACTGCATCCAGTTTTGGTCACCACACGATATAAAAGATTTTGAGACTCTAGAAAGAGTGCAGAGAAGAGCAACAAAAATGATTAGGGCCCTGGGGGGCTAAAACATAGGAAGAATGGTTGCAAGAACTGGGCATGGCTAGTCTAATGAAGAAAAGGACCAGGGGAGATATGATAGCAGTGTTCCAATATTTGAGGGGCTGTCAGCCCCTCTGGAACTGCCTGTGCTTCACCAGGCAAAGTACTACACGCACACAAACTGATAGCACCAAACCAGGTTTAATCGTAGCTTACACGGTGGCTAACAGGTGCCGAAGTCCTATGTAGAACAAAGTCAGTCATATACACCTCTTGAGGGGCTTTATAGAGTGTGTATAATTGCAT